ATGAGTCGTCTATTATCAAAGGCGGCAATCTGTGCATTTGGACAACAAAATTTTATTGATATGTCAATACAGATTTATTTGAATATAATCGTCTCCTTCAAAGAATACGGTTCAAAACCTGCATTAAATAAAGGTTAATAGTTAACCTGTTATTTATCTAAGATGTCGTTCCGAAGAGTTTTGTGACTGCCGATGGAATACAAAGTCAATAATTCGTTTTTCTGATTTACCAATCATTGTCCAAAAGTCAGATTGCCGCCTTTGATAATAGTCGACTCAAATACTGCCAAAAGAGCGTAGTTTAGTTTTAGTTTTTTTTTTTTTAGTTTTGCTATGTTTTGACTACTATTAACAAAATTAATACATAATTCTATCTTAATTTAAAAGACAGATAATGTAACTGGTAAAAAATAAAAAATAAATATTGCAAAGATGATTAATATTAAAAATACCACATGTTAAACCTTTAAAACACTCTCCTGTAAAATTAGTAAGTTTTCAGATTATACAGTCTTAATGCGAGAAGACGATATCATCCTTAGGTCGATAATCCTCAATGCTGCGGTTCGTGGCCTCTTTTAATAATTTTCTCTAGGATTATCATCCTGCGTCAGCCCTGCCTATCGTGCCTATGTGTCTATACGCATATAATCGTCATTTAAACCGTCTTTTCTTTATCTATGCCTCTTTTTTATTATAAGGTAGAGGTAAATCTAGTCCTGTTTTTGTAGGGTAGGAGTAAATCTGGTATTCAGTGTTGACCAGGGACTTTTTGGCGGAAACGTGAAGAGTGAAGTTGTGTGATTTGTTTTATTTTGTCTATTTAGTGTTTCTTCAGGTTTAGATGTGTAATAACGGTGTTTTATTAACTGTTTAATATTTGTAAAAGTGCACAAATGTGGGAAAATCAAATAAAGCCGCTGGTCGTAACTTTTCGGGATCCTCCAAAAAGTCCACTGAAAAAATCTCAGTAAACGACCACCATTTTACTGAGATTATATTTCATCCCATTTGATTAATGTCTCAAATTAATCATCATCTTCATTTCATTTCACTCCATATTATCATTTTTCATAAAAATAAGAACATAAATTAAAATAAGTCTTGAGACAAGGTCTTAGTTACCAGGTCATAAAATCCCATTAAAAAAAAGTGTTGCTCAGAGTGAAAGGCTATTTGGTTTAAGCGACATTTCGCTTAACACGCAACATTTACATTACACATACATACATACATTATGTTTACTTCATTAAAAAATAACTAATTTTTTTTTTGTAGGATATTTTTTCAAAATGTTTAAACTTTAAATGGCTCTCCTATAATTTTGCAAAAATGTTAAACCAAACAGCCTTTCGCTCTCTCTATAAGTAATTTCATAGTTTTTTTTTTCTTTTTACTAACACTGATATTTTCTCTTTTCTAAAAATACCAATTATATAAGGTCGGCATTTTTTGTTTAACAAATTACCGGTCAATTTGACAAATAGCGACAGAATCTTCCCTACAAGAACCATTAGTCAGTTTAGTGTTAAAGAAAATATCGTCTCTTATTATAATAGTTTTGTTATTCGCACAAGCTGAACACAACCTAAAAAATTCTCGTCAATGTTACACTTAAAACTAGGAAATGCAAGTATATAAATATTGTATATTTTTAAAATCACCCGGAAGATACGAGAGATTCAAAGACAGAAACTGGATGAAGCGAAGATGACACACGGAAAAAAAAAAAAAAAAAAATTGCGTCTTGGGACGCCCGACAGAAGTGACAACTTAAACTAATCTAAGTTGAACTATTTAATATTGAAATTGTTTAACTTGAGAAAAGCTTAGGTTATTACTTAAACTTTATGCATATTAATATGATAATGTAAGGAAAATTTGTTACATAAATTGAAAAATATATGAATAGTTAGGGAGTTACATACGTTCTACTACCGCTGCCGTGTGCGTGAGAGAAAGAGAAGCCAGACAGACTGGCACCGTAACGCGTTACGTAACGAAGCGATCTACCCTCCCATAAGAAGTTAATCTCTTTTTAATACACCGAGACGGTGCTTTTTACATCATTCTAACCTCCATATTTTATCATATCATCATATGTCGATACGCAAGTCATCATTAGAATAATATGATTGATAAAATCGCGTCATCCTTTTCTTATGACGGTAAACAATAAGAGACGACAGTAAAATTAATTCATACATGATTTCAGAGAAGATTGTATTAGTATATATATAAAAAAAATAAACAAAAGTGTACGTATATAATATAAATTGATGTATAATTTTATTTAAGTCTTCGTGGTATGTGGGTATGTCGATAAGGATTTCGGGGTGCGAGCGGACGTCTCATTCGACGTTAAGCGGACACGGATGTCGACGGATAGACCCGAAGACGTACTTCGCGGTTACGTAAGGCCCGTTTCACGGTAAGTGACCATTGCTAATTCTCGGCCGTTCGTCATTGACACTCAGAATAGATCTGTCGAGACCAATGTGGATGGAAGCAGTGCTTCTAACGCGATGGATAAGAAATGATAGCATTCCTCTTTGAACACATGAAGCAGAAAGTACCAAAACGGCCCAGACGGAGGTCTCAATAGGCTCGAAGCCTCAAAAGATCTCAATGCTTCGTAATCTGATAGCAATTACGATTGCCTCCGTAAAATGATTCTCATTTGTCTACTCTTCGTACAGAAAAGGAGCTTTTGAACGGTGACGTCATTGTTCAAAAGCGCCCTTTCGCTCTAGTAGTTAAGCGAGGGTTTATTTTTTTTTTAACCTAATTAATAATAGAGACAATTGAAAGTGTTTATAGATTAATCCACCGTTTGTGTATGTATTAAAGTTTCTATTGGATTGAACTAGATTAGATCGATTGATGGTAACGAGTCCCTAATGAAAGGGGTTGGATTTACAAATTGAACGAATAGGGTCTTGCGTGACTTGATATGTGTGGCGCGTCTCAGGGGAGAAAGGCAATGTTTTCGTCGCAATATGGCGAGCAGTCCATAATGGATTATTTGTAGATTCATTTCAAAGAATACCGGGTTACAGAAGTGTAACTTCTTCAGGCGGGATACGTTTCGCTACAGCTAATGCGGCGTCACCGTGCCAAAAGAAGTTCCACTTCCTGAACAAACACATCTTTTATAGCTTCGAGTCTATCGCGGTCCGTCCTGTACAGAGCACAACCAATATTTGCTACATAAAAAATAGGCGTGAGCAATTAAAATTCATAATATTTATACAATTATAACAATTCATACAATTCCTATCAAAACTTCATAAAAAAAAGGAATTCACGAAAAATGATTTCAAACATAATTCCAGTTGTTTTTCGTCGCGCAATTAAAATAACAACAAATTCAATGCGCTTCTATAGAACACGTAACGGTGAAGTGAGATGATTCGAGCCCCCTGGGTCCGTGTGACCCCCGACCGAGTCCGGCCCTGTGATCGGTGTCATAGGGCCTTTGCACCTTGATCCGACCCTGTGCTTTAAGGTTTCAACCGCTTGTAGTTGGCCAAGTGACTGTTGAGATGCTGCGCCAGCTGGTCGGCTCGCGCGAACGATGCCTGCGCCAAGGAAATGGACGTGAGAAGTCGTTTTCACTGGTGGTAGGACCTCTTAGGAGTCCGCACGGGTATGTACCACCACCCCGCCTATTTCCGCCGTGAAGCAGTAATGCGTTTCGGTTCGAAGGGTGGGGTAGCCGTTGTAACTATACTGGGATCTTAGAACTTATATCTCGAGGTGGGTGGCGCATTTACGTTGTAGATGTCTATGGGCTCCAGTAACCACTTAACACCAGGTGGGCTGTGAGCTCGCCCATCCATATAAGCAATAAAAATAAAAAATAAAAAAACAGTACAGAGCTGCAGAGGACTGTGTCTGTGTTACCTTGCACACGACGCAGCGGTACAGTTGCTTGGCGTGGTTGTGCAGGTGGCGGGTGAGCGAGTGCGCGTGCGAGAACCGCTTGCCGCACTGCGCGCAGGCGTGCGGCATGCCGTCGGGCGCGGCGCCGTGCGCGCACGAGCGGTGTCGGCGCAGCTGCTCGTACCGCTGGAACGTGGCCCCGCACTCCCCGCACCTACCTGCGGTGCCGTCACGCGACAGATCAGCCATCGCTACCAACAAACCCATCTATTCCCGCCCCTAAGCAGCAGCTTTATTAAGAACGTGATATATCTATATATTAATACGTGAAGCAAAAACTATGTACATATTAACTTTTTTCGAAAATTACGCGAACGGAAGAGAATGACATTTCTCAAACTTATAGAGTATATAGAGAAGGAGTGCAGAATGCTAATCTTTTTTAATTATCCATAAAAACGACATTAAATCAATAAAAAAAAACATTACACACACTACCATGTATTATTGCTGTCTGCGGTCTAATTTTGAGAATAGATTAATATTGTTTGTCTTTAACATCATTTGTGTATAGTGTAGTCTTGGCGAATTATGTGATTATAGAGGTCTCTCGAATTTCGACTGCTAAGGGACCACTAGTTTGAATATAAAAGGTTTGTATTGTCCAGCGCCATCTGTCGCCGAATATCAGGAAGGAACTAGTAAGATCGAGAACGCTCAAGAAGTACAACGCCATCTATTAGCGGAAACACACAGCGAAGCTACTCAACTTGCCCAGAATGTTCTCAATAAATCTAGAGATGTCGTATCGACTATAAAAGCGTTGCAGGGATGGCATGAAGGATGGTAATCGGTTCTACTCGCAGTGCTTCGCAGAATCTACCACCGGATCGGGAACGTGACCCACTGAGAAGAACCGGCGAGAAACCCAGTGGGCTGTGTCTGTGGGTTAATTTACTCGTCCTTCGTCGCAAGTGACAGGTCGGCGAGGACGGTGTCCGCAAACAGTACTGACAACGGTACATAAAATATTTGTGTTGACGACGGTACCTGATACGGCCTGTCGTGCTGACGGTACACTCACCGGCTCGCTCGTCGTCCGTGTGCGTGCGGTCGTGGGCCGCCAGCTCGGAGTCGTCCTCGAAGCACTTCCTGCACACCTCGCAGCGCACCGTCATGGAGCCGCGGTGAGCTTCAGCCCTGGCGACAGAACGAATCTAATCTCAAGCCTACTGAACGGATCGAGGGAGACGTTCGATGGCATAAATCGATAATTGGGGGGATATAATGGCGGAAGCGTATCATTTGATGGGGGGCAGAGAAAAAAAAAACGTCGGATGTGTTCAGAGTGATTGTTGTATCCCTTAATTTGTGTACTAATTCTATTGGTTTTGTAAATGGTGTGTTCTAGGTATGCCGTTTAATATAAATACATTTTTGTAGACAGTGTGTTACTAGATAAGTTACTAGATACGTTTACTACTTTGACCTTTTTGTAGAGTGTGTAATTAGGTGTGTGGTTTACTACCCCGACAGTTTTGTAGACAGTATATTACTAGTTGTGTGCTTTACTACTTGGATATTTTTGTGGACAGTGCGGTACTAAGTACATATGTCGTTTACTACCTCGACCTTTTTGTGAACAATGCGTTAGTAGGTACATATGTCGTTTACTCCCTCAACCTTTTTGTAGACAGTGCGTTACCAGGTACATACGTCGTTTAATACCTCGACCTTCTTCTGAACAGTGTGTTACTAGGTACATATGTTGTTTACTACCTCGACCTTTTTGTAGACAGTGTTTTACTAGGTCCATATTTCGTTTACTACCTCGATCTTTTTGTAGACAGTGTGTTACAAAGTACATAATATGTCGTTTACTAACTCGACCTTTTTGTAGACAGTGTGTTACTAGGTACAACATATTATGTCGTTTACTACCTCGACCTTTTTGTAGACAGTGTGTAACTAGGAACATATTATGTCGTTTACTACCTCGATCTTTTTGTAGGCAGTGTGTAACTAGGAACATATTATGTCGTTTACTACCTCGACCTTTTTGTAGACAGTGTGTTACTAGGTACATATAATGTCGTTTACTACCTCGATCTTTTTGTAGAAGTATTATTATGACCGAAGTTCATTGAATAAGGTCTACTAAAGATCTTTGTGAAAGTTAGGAAATACTAGCTTATTTTCGATGGTCTACTATTCGGTAGACCGACACTCACTTATGCTCCCATAGTTTCTCGCGTCTATTAAACGTCTCGTTGCAGCAATCACACTCGTATCTGTCTGAGGAACGAGTCCTGGACCTAGAATTTCCTCCTCCCCTGTTCTGGTGGCTGCGTCTGTGTATTCTGTGGACCATAGACGTTATATCAAACCGGAGGAACTTAGTTCCGCTCTGACTGCCGCGAAGTGTAGGAATAGCACTCGCGCGCCATCTACAGTACTTTTATGGTACTATGTTAGAGAGAAAACTATTTTACTCAACCTTTAAGCCAATTCTAATTATTTTAATAGTCCAAATTAATTATTATATCTGGGGTATTGAATGTGTAAGTTCATGCCATGTCAACTAGAGGGCGTTGTTCCCTTAGAAAATAAATTTCTGAACAGCGATAGTTTTTCCCCGGTGGCTATATGAGTCGTCTATTATCAAAGGTGGCAATCTGTGCATTTGGACAAAAAAAATTTATTGATATGTCAATACAGATTGATTTGAATATAATCGTCTCCTTCAAAGAATACGGTTCAAAACCTGCATTAAATAAAGGTTAATAGTTAACCTGTTATTTATCTAAGATGTCGTTCCAAAGAGTTTTGTGACTGCCGATGGAATACAAAGTCAATAATTCGTTTTTCTGATTTACCAATCATTGTCCAAAAGTCAGATTGCCGCCTTTGATAATAGTCGACTCATATATACTCTGTTTTTTGTGACGAAACATTTCTCGACGAAGGGCTCGGCGAGTAAATTAACCCACAGACACAGCCCACTGAGTTTCTCGCCGGATCTTCTCGGTGAGTCGCGTTTCCGATTCGGTCATAGATTCTCCGAAACACGGCTCTTGCTAGGGCTAATGTTAGCAACGTCAAGTTTGAGCCCCGTGAGCTCACCTAATAGTTCAGTGAATCTAGAATAACCCCTCGAGGTTACTAGAGCAGATAAGAAGAAGAAAAAAATCCTTTTACGGGTATGGAAGTTCGCGCGGGTAGGCACCAATCTCCCACCTGGTTCTTCCACAGCCCAGCCATTTTACGACACATTGAGTCATATCTCAAGCTTTAAGAGGTGGTGGCACTGGCCGGATGAGCGGTTGCTAAAGTCGACATGCTTACTTTAACGTGACCTTCGTGGAATACCACTTCCGGCATATGTGGCACTGGAAGCTCTTGTCCGGCGACTCGTTCTCGCTCTCGCTGACGTCGTTCTCCTGCGGGGGAGGCACGTCCGCCGCGCGCTCCGGATCCGTGTCCGAGTCGGACGCCGGCCCGCTGTGCGACCACGCACCGAACGACCGGCTGGAAACGAGATGGGTTTGTACTTAACTATACAATTAACTGGACAGTTGGAAACATATACATACATATATACACATATATATATATATATATATATATATATATATATATATATATATCGACACTTGAAAGGCAAACGTGACTAAGCGGCAATAACTGCTTTATACATAAATGATAGGCAATAACCATATTCGATGCGCAAAAAATATATATTTCTAGGTCTATTAAAATCATTTCAATCTTACAGCTAGATTCGTTAAAATATTTTTTTTTTCAGGTATTTCAACTTTAAATTAGTCTACTGTAAAGTTCACGCATTATCGCTTAGTCACGTTTGCCTTTCAAGCGTCGATATATATTTCATTTATATTGTAGATGTCTATGGGCTCCAGTAACAATTTCACACCAGGAGGGCTGTGATCTCGTCCACCCACCAAAGCAATAAAATAAAAAATTGCTGATGTCCATGAACAACGGTGACTTAAAGGGCAATAATTAATAAATTACGCTCACCTGTCGTCCTCGTTGTGGGCCATCGGAGGCTGCTCCTCTTTGGGCCTCTCGTCTTCAGACCCCGAGTCCGAATCGGAGCTGTCTGATGAGCTGGAGCTTCCGGAGCTCGACGACGAACTGGATCCGGAGCTTGACGAGCCTGGTGGAAATGAGAGGTGTTGGCTTAATATGTTGGAAGAACGAGGGGAGAAACTAGGACATGAGGTCCGTAATATGAAGAGACCAACCCTGGGTGTCTTAAAAAATGAGGGGGGGAAGGGAGAGAGGAAGAGAGAGAGAGAGAAATGAGAGGGGGAGAGAGACGTGTCCGTTCCTTTTGTGATATATTCTTTTTTGGTGCGTATTAAGTTATGATTAAATCCTACTAAGGGTTTAAGCGCGAGTTCGTAAGAATGTATGGGTGTATATTTGTTACTCTTTCACGCATGGGAGGTAAACTTAAGGGTCCACTTGGGGATACACTTGAGAGGTCCCCTTGGAGGTACTCTTGGGAATACTCTCGAGGATTTATTGACCGACTTTTGTCTCGGAAAGATACAACGTAGGAGAAAATGCTGAAACTAAAGAAAATTTCTGGAAACTGCCGTCACGTATGAGACATCATTATGGCTTAGGTCGATGGACGTGTTCACGACCCACATGGTGTTAAGTAGTTACCGGAGCCTACCGTTGCTCATCTTAAGGCGTGAGTTCTATAGTTTTTACTGGCCCACCCGTGCGGGATGACAAGATGCCCTATCACCAGTAAATCGTAGGATGCACCTTAGTTACATAGGATCTTGTGGCACGCGGTGCACTTACCGGAGCCAGAGCTGGTGCTGCCCGTGTCGGAGTCGGAGCCGTCCTCCAGCTTCTCGACCCTCGAGTCTAAGTCCTTCACGGAACCGTTCCCTGAAGATTTGTGAATAAATAAAAACTTATTTTTTTAATATATCGCGAAATATAATTGGTATTATAGGTAAGCGTGCGACTGAGTGACCCAATGGCAGTGTGGTTAGCGCCCGTTACGACCTTGAGGATCGCAGCTTCGATGGTCACTTCGAACAACCAATTGTTTTCTCTTTGTCTGAACGTTTATTATATACTAGCTTTCGCCTGCGACTCCGTCCGCGTGGAATAATTATTTTGGCATAACGCTAAATTTTACCCCTACATTCTTTATTGGTGCTCTACTTGTATCGGTCTTATCGTGATGTTATATATCCTCAATAAATGGGTAATAACACTAAAAGAATTTTTCAAATTGGACCAGTAGTTCCTGAGATTAGCGCGTTCAAACAAACATACTCTTCAGCTTTATAATATTATATTAACTATAGATATTTTATTCTTTATTGCGTAGTTCTGTGGACGAGCTCACAGCCCACCTGTTGTTAAGTGGTTACCGGACCCCATATGCATCTACAACGTAAATGCGCCACCCACCTTGAGATATGAGTTCTAAGGTCTCAGTATAGTTACAACGGCTGCCCCACTCTTCAAACCGAAACGCATTACTGCTTTACGGCAGAAATAGCCAGGGTGGTGGTACCTACGCACGCGGACTCACAAGAAGTCCTACCAGCAGTAATTACGCAAATATTTAAATTTATTTATGTATGGTGCTATAGCAATCTCCGGTTCTCATAGTACTGAGGATCCGGGTTTGGGCTTGGATGACCGGGTGCATCTTATGTCCGGGATATATATATATATATCTATTTATTTAAATACGTTACGACCGTACGAGATAACGGCCCACCTGGTATTAAGTGGTGACGGAGTCCATGGACATCAACAGTTGAATCCCGCTGCCCACCTTGAGACTTGAGGTCTATTGCCTCTTTTCGTCGACGTATATTATTGTAACACGACCTGGATCCAAGATCCACTAACAACTCCTTACCGTCTGAGCTCCTGATGGATAGCACGTCGTCATCGTCACGATTCCTCTGACCGGAGTCCTGGGAAGGTTTCTTGAAGTTCGCCGCCAACAAGTGTGCTTCGTACAGGTCGTCCTGATGAGAGAAACGGACAAATAAATTTATTTACTAAGCAATGTATTTCTGTTGCACTAATGAGTTCAACGAACCGACTTACTAATACCATTATATACTAGATGAAGACCGAGCTTTGCTCTTTTTTTTTTTTTATGATAACGCCATCTTGTTTTGTCTTTAAAGCGGTTAGTTGCTCTCAATTAAGAAAAATAGTATTATTATTCGCCAATAGATGTCGGGAAGAGTCATAAAGTTGATTATCGATAAAGTTGATTATTGAAAACACGAACAAAACAACATTTTCTGAAAATAAATCGTAGCTAGATCGATTTATCACCCCCGAAATCCCCTGTATACTAAATTTTATGAAAATCGTTGGGAGCCGTTTCCGAGATTCAGATTATATATATATAAAAATTGCTCGATTAAAGGTATAAGATATCAAGGGGAGGGCCATTTAAAGGTTAAACATTTGAAAAAAATATCATAAAAAAAAAAACTTTACTATTTGAATGGAGTAAGCATAATTGAAGTTCATTTAAAATTACTGGAATGTTGATGCTAATCCTACTACTAATATTAAAAACGTGAAAGTTTGTAAGAATGTATGGAGTGTATTTATTTATTGCTTAGATGGATGGACGAGCTCACAGCCCACCTGGTGTTAAGTGGTTACTGGAGCCCATCGACATCTACAACGTAAATGCGCCACCCACCTCGAGATATAAGTTCTAAGATCTCAGCATAGTTACAACGGCTACCCCACCCTTCGAACCGAAACGCATTACTGCTTCACGGCGGAAATAGGCGGGGTGGTGGTACCTACCCACGCGGACTCACAAGAGGTCCTACATGTTTGGTACACTTTCACGCAAAAAGTACTGGATGGATTTTGATGAAAGTTTACAATAATATAGCTTACACATCAGTACAACATATTAAACACATAAAAAATTTATAAAAATATAGTGTATATTACCCAAAATATAACGAAAAGTGTCAAGTTTTACTGGTGGTAGGACCTCTTGTGAGTCCGCACGGGTAGGTACCACCGCCTTGCCTATTTCCGCCGTGACGCAGTAACCCGTTTCGGTTTGAAGGGCGGGGCAGTCGTTGTGGCTATACTGAGACATTAGAACTCATATCTCGAGGTGGGTGGCGCATTTACGTCGTAGATGTCTATGGGCTCCTGTAACCACTAAACACCAGGTGGGCTGTGAGCTCATCCACCAATCTAAGCAATAAAAAAAAAGTAAGTAGGAAAAAATCTGCCATCTTATTTTCATAATCTATACATACATATAAATAAAATTGGAGTGTATGTTTGTAATATTGATATAACCGCTTTTCACGACATGCATATGAATATATACCTACATATACGGTACATACACCAAAATAACATTTTTTACAATTTTTGTCTGTCTGTTTGTTCCGGCTAATCTCTGGAACGGCTGGACCGATTTTGACGGGACTTTCGCTGATACGTAGCTAATGATATAAGGAGTACCTTAGGCTACTTTTTTTAGACAAGCTTCGCCCTGCGGCGTTACCCGCGGTTATTTTCGTACCGCGGGACTCAGCTAGTCAATAATAAATTAAATATTCCCGAAGCGAAGCGAGAGCGGGTCGCTAGTACCAAATAAAAGGCACATTTAATTATAAAGATAAATGTCGAAATCTCTTTTCAACCCTTCGATATATAGGAACGTACCTTATCGATGTTGGCGTATTTCTCGTGTATGTGCCTTAAAGCGCGTAGATTCTCATCCAGGCTCAGGGAATCTGAGGTTTGGCTCGGGGATCCTGTTGGAGAAAAATCTCTTTAAGCTGGACCATTTGAGGCTGTGATCAATTGGTATGAATTTACACGAAGCGAGGTTAGGTGGGATAAAGTCTTAGTAAAATGGTGGTTGACTACTGATATGATTGTTATTTCAGTGGACCTTTCGTAAGAGTCCTTCGAAGAAAGGCTTCGGCCGGGGGCTTTGTTTCATTTTCCCCATTTTAGTGCAACATCACAGATGCTAAACAGTTTTGCGATAGTTTTCCTAGTGACCTCGAGGGGTCATACTAGATTCACCGAACGATTAGGTGAGCTCACGGGGCTCTAACCTGCTAACGCTGCTAACACAGGCCCTAGCAAGAGTAGTGCTTCGCAGAATCTACCACCGGATCGGAAACGCGATCCACTGAGAAGATCCGGCGAGAAACTCAGTGGGCTGTGTTTGTAGGTTATACAGTTAATAAACCAGCGTTATTATAGGTTTAAATCTGAAGAGAATCTCAATTAACAAAGGACCGATCTTATTTGAAAGTTTGATAAATGATAAGGATTTATTGTTGGCGATATTTTGATTGTACTTCATACCGAGATCGGGCTCTTCGTCGCTGTCCAAATTTATGGGTTCGGAGCTGTCCGGCATGAGGTTACTCCTCACTCTTATTTCTGCAAGAGAAGTATACAATCTAGTGTGAAACCAGTGGGACTGTGTCTATAGTAGTGTAGTGTATGACCCTCGGCTAGATGTAGGTCGGATCTGTGTCTGTTTGTGCACGAGAAGAGCTCGGGATCAGTACAGAGCTGCAGAGGACTGTGTCTATAGTAGTGTGGTATAGGACCCTCGGCTAGATGTAGGTCGGATCTGTGTCTGTTTGTGCACGAGAAGAGCTCGGGATCAGTACAGAGCTGCAGAGGACTGTGTCTATAGTAGTGTGGTATAGGACCCTCGGCTAGATGTAGGTCGGATCTGTGTCTGTTTGTGCACGAGAAGAGCTCGGGATCAGTACAGAGCTGCAGAGGACTGTGTCTATAGTAGTGTGGTATAGGACCCTCGGCTAGATGTAGGTCGGATCTGTGTCTGTTTGTGCACGAGAAGAGCTCGGGATCAGTACAGAGATGCAGAGAACTGCGTCTTAACTATACAACTAGAGGGTAAATCTGCTACAGTATACTCACTAGCTTGTGGCATTTGTTTGTTATTTGCCGACACCTGCTCGTTTTTCCTCGGCCTTCCGCGTTTTCCCTTCACTTTATCCGTTGTGTTCTAGAAGTAAGGAACGCACAAAACGATCAAGATAAACACAAATAAACAGAGTTTAAATATGTGTTGTCGCCGAAAACGAATTACGAATGTTCTAGATGAACTTTGGTGAGAATTAATTCGGTTTGGAGCCTTCTGATTGTAGTGGTGGGGGGTGATTGATCTATGGGTTATATATAACGAGACGCCAGACGGCTGATGGTGTTAAAACGAAGGCGGACCATTCGGATTCAACTTTCACATTAGGACACAATCGGTCTTAATGAAAGCTGCTGTGGCTTGGCTAAGACCGTTTTTAGGGGACACACAAACTTTTATTTTTTTTCATTCGGTTTTCTCAACACGCATATCAGAAGAAGTGTGAAAGTAGCCCCGGTGATTGATAAATTAAAGAGCGGACGGTTAGCGTGGTGTGGACATGTGATGCATGTGACTAGGAGATGTATGGAAATGGTAGTGCAAGGTAGAGGGGGGAAGAGGTCGACCGAAGAAGACATGGAGGGAGTGTGTGAATGACGATATGCGAGAGAGAGGTGTGAGTGTTAAGATGTCGCCTGATAGAAATGGAATGGAATAGAAAAATTCGCTGTGCCGACCCCACCAAGTGGAATAAGGAGGCGACAAAGAAAAAAAATTTCGCAACACATTTCGGCACACTTACAGATTCTTTCTTCGAGTCGGGCGTTCGCTTTGTGTATTTGCGCTTCGCTTTCGGGATCAACTCGCCCGTGGACGAAGACGTGGCCGAATCTAAGGTGAGATTACTGCCGATTACTGCCGGGGTTTTCATTTTCGAATTTCGCGCAGACACAAACACAAACACAAGAGCATCTATAGTTCCATCCCTTATTTTGTGTGAAACTCAGTTTGTCATGTAGTGGAAAATGTGTTTTACATTATGATGGAGTGTCCGCGGAACGATGATTTGAGACAACAATTCTTTGCAAAATATACAGACATTCGACAAGTTTTGTAGGTGTAAATTACGTATTAGCCTTTCCGCAATCCGAAATGGCTAAGTCACTTTATAAAATAGTTTTGATGAGCTTTCAGAGACGATAACAGTTTCCTTTATTTTTTTATATAAATCTTTAGTTACTCTCTTTTGTTGCACAATGGAGTGGCATATTCATTAGGTGAATAATCTCCTTAAGAAAAGAGAAAAAAGAAATTGAGTGAAAATATGATCTTTCATTGCCCAAAATTGTGAATTGCAATGATTACAATTTCGACCAAAAGTACAATATAAATATATCCAAGTTAACAAATAAGTATATAAATATATATAACATTTAATTATTGTATAATTAAAAACAGAAAATAAAAAATTAATAAATAATAAAATTATTTATTTGTTGTAGACAAATTTATTAAATTTTATCGATTTGTGGTTTCTGAAAGTTTACAAAATCCTTCATTAAAAATTAAATTTAGGATAGGTAATATTTTACTGCCATCTACAGGAGCAATGAGAAACTAATCGAAGCGAAGCCATCTAATGGCCGTCGCCCGTAAATATTTTTGTTGAGTGCTCGAGTTGCTTATGAATTATTGGAAGCGAATGTTTTAGCTCAATTCTTTTCATTGTATATTTAAAGATTCTCATTACGCATTCGTGACTTATGGAACTTGGTACGGCCCATGGTTTGGCCATAGACGATTTGTCTTGAAGACGAACCGTGTTATTTTCTTAATTTTTTTTAATTCAAACATATTTATTTCGGAAAACAAAACTTTAACATACAAATACAACATATAATAATATTATAATATATGTAATACAAACATATAATATGATAAAAATGAATAAATAAAAACCAAACAAATTTCCACCATCCAAAAAAATTTTGTTTTTATTTATTGCATAGATGGGTGGACAAGCTCACAGCCAAACCGGTGTTAAGTGGTTACCGGAGCCCATAGACATCTACAACGCAAATGCCGCCGCCCACCTTGAGATATGTGTTCTAACGTCTCAGTATAGTTACAACGGCTTTCAAACCGAAACGCATAAATGCTTCACGGCAGAATTAGGCGGGTACCACTTACCCGCGCAGACTCACAAGACGTCCTACCACCATGATTTTACAAAAAAAAAGCGTCACTATACTCACACATATACGATGCACCTCTATTTTATTTCTATATATATTTAAAACTTAAAAATGAACATCGGACCTAACTCATTTAAAAAAATATAAATAAAAAAATACCCGTATCATATTACAGTATAACATGATATTGGCATTTTTTTTATATACACAAATATTAGTAATGTTACAAAAAAAAATACAATACTATTTATATAAAAGCTGATTTATAGAAAGCTCTTGATGATGAGGGTAGGCGAAAACTGAATAATACCAACAAAAATTTTACCACGAATACAAAAAAAAAAAAAACGTAAAAACCAGTTCTACCATGCAAAAAAATGTACCGAACTCCAAAAATTACCTTTTCTTTTCATATATTTCGAATTTCTCCGCATTACAATCTTTTTATCGGCAATCTTTCTAACCAGTTTCTGTTGCAGTTTTCTAACGCTGACGGCCATGTTGTTTTTTTGTACGTTTTTTGGTAGGCGATTTGTCGAAGTTTTGACGCTTCGTGGTAGACTTTTCGCTAGCGGTGAAAATGGAGTGTGTTACACATATTTCTCGATATAATATGTGTGCCGAAAATTTTGGTATGGTCATATTACGTAATACGAGCAGTAAAATCTCGTCAACTTAGTACACATTCTTACGTATAGTACGAATTGCTTTACTGTTTATCTCTATACCGGGTTTTTGGTGTAAATTTTTTTTAAGTGTTCATTTAATCATCAACCAAAATTTTCTGATTATAAAAACACTACGATTGAGCTGTGCAACTCGCGCGAGTGACGTCATATTCTAGTCTGGTACCGTGTGTAGAACCGAAATTTATTATCCACTGAGTTTCCCACCGAAGCTTCTCGGATGGTAGATTCTGTGCTTCACTGCTCCTGCTAGTATTAGCAATCTCTCTTAGGTTGAGCCCGTGAGCTTACCTACCCGTCCGCGCGTAGCTGTAATAGTGCCTTAGGCTACCACAGAATAGGTAGGGAGAAAAAAATTCCATGACCATTCGGGTTATTTGTTTCAAATCATCGCCCTGGATCGGTTACTGGAGCCCATAGACATTTACAACGTAAATGCGCCACCCACCTTGAGATATAAGTTCTAAAGTCTCGGTATAGTTACAACGGGCAGCCGTTTTACCGGTGGTAGGACCTCTTTTGAGTCCGCACGGGTAGGTACCACCACCCTGCCTATTTCTGCCGTGAAGCAGTAATGAGTTTCGGTTTGAAGGGTGGGGTAGCTGTTGTAACTATACCGAGACTTTAGAACTTATATCTCAAGGTGGGTGGCGCATTTACGTCGTAGATGTCTATGGGCTCCAGTAACCGCTAAACACCAGGTGGACTGTGAGCTTGTCCACTCAACTAAGCAATAAAAAAAAACCGCCACCCAGTCCCGGAAAGAGGGCTCGTAGTATTATAACGACTGTACCGGAATTTAAGACTGCTTCACCGCAGCAATTGATATCGTTGTAAAACGATTTATTTCAGTATTTGTTAGCGAGGTGCACAGCCGTTTTCGTGAATGTAATTCATAATGATTTGTTAGTAATGATCGAAGCGAAGTGGTCCAACTCTGAAAGGTCTGTTTCACTGGAGCTTGAATTTTCAATATGTGATATTTTCTTTTCTTCCCTATGCTGGGTGTTAGGAGACCGCTTCCGAAAACGAACATTTTGTAAATACAAAGTTGTAAAGTTTGGGGAGCGCGGTATTAGCGCCGCGCCCGGGCGTTCGTTGATCCGAGTATCAGCTGTTTTTGATTTTGTGTTTCATAGCTGGTTTTTTTTAAGGAAGGTAATGTTTTTTTTTATGTAACTATTCTTTCACTTAGCTGTACTAACATGATGGAGCCATAAATAATGGCAATAAATCGTTTTAAAATAATTTTTTTTTAAATCAGGATTGATTTGTTTTCCGTCTCATTTCCGGGCGCGGTTAGTTAAAACAAAATTTCTCTTATTCCTTGGCAGTGTGTATTGATCTATTATATAACAATCCCAAATGATAACAATTTTTGGATATGTTTGAGCAATATCTCATTTGATTAGGCACATTAATCTTTTTAATATATTTAATCGATTGCCTTTCATGAAACAGACAATTCGAGTTTAACTCTAAAGCAAGTGAATCGTATACAGGGCGTACGAAGAGGCCCCCCGAAGACAACACGTAACCGCAATGTACAGCAAACGGATCTCTAAAGGTCGTTGACCCCGCGCGTCGTCTTTCCATTACATTGCGCGCATTGATTTCAGTTACTATCGGGAACGTTTCCAGTACGCCAAGTATGAACTAATCATAACACCACACCCCATAAGGTTTTAATAAGTTCTGATTATTCACAAATAAAAGCCCACACGTGTTCGTAGTAAAGCGAACAATCAGATAATCGGTTTAGTTTCGGAAATTTAAATGCGAATATAAATAAACTTTATTGAACTTTCTACGAATTTTTTCTTTTGTTTTAAATGTTATCTGATTTTCGTTTCACTTAATAAAATTAGGAATTAATGTATTAAAAGCTCACCTGCGCCGCCGGTGCGTCTTTTGTGCTCCTTTTTAGCTTTACGATCGAGAGCTTCTGTTGGATGAGAAATATTAATATCAAGTATAGATTTGCGACAAATATTTCCAGCTCTTCACGCCTAGGTATCATTACAATAGAGGCACACCTTTTTTTTCGAGCATGGCAATCCACAAGTAGCCATTGTCAGTGGAGAGTGATTTAAAAAAGTTTTAATGTGCACATATAAATAATTAAGTTAAACAAAAAAACGGTATATACCTTAAAGAAGAGCTTAACTCGTTAATAAGATCAATGGTCTTGAAATAATTAAATTTACTCTATATTTTTGCATTTACACATTTTTTCTTAACCTTTTATTGTAGAAAAAAAAACCTAAATGTATTATTATTATTTTTCAATTTAGACGGTAGTTAGCAACAAAGAGATGTCAAAGAACCACACCTTAGGCCAAGACGACAGAATAAAACGTATTATGTATACGTTAAAACCTAAGGAAAATACAGTGAAAGGGAAATAGCATACGTTATATTTAGCCCTTTGACTACCATGTAGGTCACCGGTGCCCTACGCGGCGCACTGAAGTAATCTCGTAAAGCGAGAATCTCTGACATATCAATCAAATTAGATAGCTTATAGTCGATTTGTTTTCTTGCAGACCGTACTCGTGTGATAACGTCGTCATTAGTGATCCCATTTGAAGGCTCAGACACATTAAAATACTCCCCCCCTTTTTCATCTGGCTTCCTAATTCTGAAAAGGGGTTTGCTTTGAATTTTTGACGTTTGTCCGGCGGGGTGCATCCAAAATATCCACCACAAGGAAGCACTAGGCACCGAAACGTGTAACTCACCCAGTTCCCTAACCCTTTTCCTGGCTAAATATTCGGGACTGGTCTTATCGACTCTGGGCCGACCCCGCTTCCGTTTCTCGCCCGGCTCTGAAGGCTGACGGCTGCTGTTCATCATTGCGGCTATTGCGGAAACGAATAATAAAAATAAACAAAACAAAAAAACGAAAACAAAAACAACAAAAACAAAAAAGAAAACAAATTGTGCGGTATTTGTTTATTTACAAAAAGTATAATGATTTGTGCGATTATAAAATGCGTTGATGTGATGCGTTTTTTTTTTATATATATTTATATTTTTTTTGTTTTAAAACGTATTAATAATTCGGCTTCCCTTATATAGACCATAGAAATACCGAATCAATGCTATGATAGTACATGCTGCAAACAAGATTCGTGATAGGATAGATAGCAAAGATTAACCGATTGGTGACCGAGAGGTGTCGTTGACCCCTAAATTTTGTACGTCTTACATTGCGCCCCGACATTTTCATGTGATTTATTCAAATTTATTTAAGATACACGTTAAATATATTAAATGAATCGTTCGAAAATTAATACTGTAGAATTCATGATAAACGGTAATGGAATTTATTTCCAAATTATCATATTGTTATAAAACATTTGTTCTTTAGACTATTATATCGTCTACGGACTTGGTCGTTTTACGTTCCATAGTCAAAGGTACATACATACGTAAATACACATGTACCCAACAAGACAAAAGCAGCTAATGTTTTGCGATTGTGGATTTATTTTGATTAGTAATTTTTCTTTCATACTCTCAGCCTGAATGGCTATAGCTAAAAAACACATTGATATGGCTCGAAGACTCATTTACGCCTATCACACTCGATACCAATATTTTTTTTAAGAAATCTTAGTTTTTGTTAGTAATTAGTACGATATCAACATTCAAAGCAGTATTAGTTATTAGTTCGGTTAGTTCGGTTAAGTAGAGATCCCGTCACTGGTGTTTGGACGAACAATTCGAGTATTTTCATAGATCACCGACAGATTTCGGTATTGATAGGGGCCTAGCCGAGCCACGGACGCCTTAGGAATCCAGCTGAGGGCTTTACAAGCCTAGTTTATGGAAGGACTCGTGGCGCTTGGGAAGCACCGTTGTGGGTAGTTCATTGGTTTGATGGGTGATGCGTGACAAACATGAAAGCAGTAAGACAGTGCGGGCGAACCGTTACAGATGAAGACTCAAGTGGTAGGCGATACGATGGAAAAGGGAGATGACGTTTACAACACAGATTGCAGTCTCCGTAGATGCATAGGTTCCAGAAGATCATTGAGCTAAGGATTGGCCGTAATCCGCACTGTGTGTGGTATCAAATGGAAGCTGAGGCCAAGGAGTCGTCCAAAAAATGAGAGCAGTACTCCACAGGTGGCAATACTTATGTTATGTTCCAGATCATCCTGTCAGATTATGGTGTGATGGAAGGAGCATGTTTAACTGGTGATCTTGGCGTGACCAGAGCTTGCTGGTTGTAAGTTTACATCAGAATCGAGGTCATTTCAATCGCAATGGTGTAAACGTTAGGTCAGAAATAGTTGTAGTTATAAAGCTCACTTAACCAACGAAGGCTTCGCACTTTTAAAAGTTTTCTAAGACATTCAGTCGTATACAAAAATATATCTATGTAGCGGCAGCTGTCATAGAAGGCATAACGAAGAAATTTGCATAAGCAAATTCCGAAAAACATTCGAAATGTGGCGGTCTATTTGAACACTGACTCCCGCTCGGTGGAAGATCTTCCCTTCCTCCATGAATTCAATTTTTACTAATTTTGTGGTTCTTTCATCATGAAACCCGCATGTTTGTTAATTTCCAGAAACGATACCTTTATATGGTAGCATTAAGGTAATACGCTAACTGAACCCTTCGAAAGTCAATAGTACAATCACTGAATTTAATTTTTTTTATTTGTTTTTAAACAGTATCGTACACAAAGCATGTTACTGAATCATTATTATCTCTTGCAATCTTAATATTAGCACTTTACATTTACAGAAAACACATACAGTGACAACCTTGAACACGCATATGAAGAAATGAAACCATCACCCATGCTTTTAACACCGTCATTGAGCTGCCGAATGACTGTCAAATGTGAACATTAACCAGCAATAATTATTTACAGCGTTTCACTCTATAGAAGTTACACTTCTCTGGTCAAAGGAAGGTGCATGTACTACAATAAAATTAAAGTCGTTTCTTAAGCGGGTCGCAATAAGTGGACAAGTTATTTAAAGTGGTGATAGTCATCTTCAAACACGATCTATTATGACAAAACACCATGTAAGCTAGGATTGGTTATTTAGTGTTTATTATTAACGTGTCTGTCTGTAAGACGCACATTTTCGTGCAACGTCAGTAAGCGAAACGTGATTTCTTAGAGAAAAAAAGCGTGCATTTTTTAATTAACATCCAAGAAGTGTAACTTCTAACATCCACGCATCGACTTCATTGAGCTGACGTACCCATTTCTCTAGCCTGCTTTCTCGCGGCTAAATTAGCTAAATACTCCGGGCTTGATTTGTCGATTCTCGGTCTGCCGCGTTTTCTTTTCATCGGTGTTGTAGTAGTCACACTCGACTCTGTTACGTGATTTTTGTTCTTGTTTATAACTTTTTTCAATTCTGCCGCGCTATTGCTGCGGTGCTCAGTCCTAGCCATAGACACGAGAACGTAGATTCCGCCACTAGTCTTGCATCATAGACACAATACGTTTTCAAAGTTTCAAAAGCACCTTTCTATTTTTTAATTAACATTTGTTACGCTACATTATTAGTAAAAAGAAATTAAACAAATAAAAAAAGCTTTGCTGACGGATCCTTGCCGGCTAGACAATTTCCTGTTGAACTTAAAGAAATTTGCGTCGACAAGTGTGGGTCATTGAATGATTGGAGTTTATTCGATAATGAATTTAAATGATGGCAGTTTCCAATTGACTAAAAACAAATCTGTATAACGTATAATAATCTTAGTTGAGACACCACTGCTTTTTAATTAACAAAAGTTCACAATAAAACAGTGCATGCTTATCAAGTGAGAAGTTATACTTCGATACGATATAGTATTTCTCGTGAAACCTACACCCCAAAACTCAATACATTATCTTTATAATGAAATAAAATTATGCGCTACATTGATGTGTCACTAAAATAGCAATTTTGATCTTCCTAAAAGAAGCACAACTTCGAATAGGAAAATTATGTAGTCAATCTTCAGTCATAATTTATGGTCACAATAAATTGTGTCTACACAAGGGCCAATTAATCTTGAACCCTAGGTCTTATATAGATTGTTTATCAGTCTCTGGTTCCCATAGTATATACACAGTATCCTTGTTTGAGGTCATATGACCGTAACTCATTTGTTAACGATATTATTTGTTAATTAATAATAGTTGTGTATCGAAACAAAGACAAGATTGGGAGAGTTCAGAGTACTTTCCATCTACTACCAACACTATTCATTCAGTTTTCATCCAACATCCACGGTGCCTTGTCAAAGCAGAATCAACCTTAAACTAACAACAAAAAGTCGATATTCTGTCGACCGTACAGTAACGTACGACAAACTTACGTGCATGCATGGCTTCCTGTTTGTGCCTCGCCGCGTAAAGCTCGACGGCTGGCGGAACGAAGTGAGAGACAGGCGATCGGTAATCGACACTGAGCGGCAGACCCCCCGGCAAACCAGCAGGCACTGGAAATCAACAACGGAAACTCTATGTTGTGCAAGTCAATATCAGATATAGTAACAGGAGCGTGGTTCTCGTCGAACCCGTCGCTTGCGACGAAGGGCTCCACGAGTAAACTAACCCACAGACACAGCCCACTGAGTGTCTCACCGGATCTTGTCAGTGGGTCGCGTTTCCGATCCGGTGGTAGATTCTGCGAAGCACTGCTCTTGCTAGTGCCAGTGTTAGCAACTTCGGCAGGTTTGACCCCGTGAGCTCATCTACTCGTTCGGTAACGCTGATATAGTCCCTCAAGGCTATCAGCTTAGGTAAGAAAAAAAAAGTAACAAGAGTAATAGGCAGTTTTCTCTGAGTAACTTATTAGTGAAGAGCATGTCTTAGCAGTCAGGAAATAAAATGAGGGGAAGTTCAAGTCAATGGTACACTGCAAAAAAGATCGATGGGAACACACTGTCAATGAACTCAGTGCAGGATGGTAAAAGCAAAACCATGGTATAATCTCAAACAAGTTCTCTCTGCTCCGAAGCATTCCTGATGGAATATACACAGCACAGTACAGGGTTCAATATTCTGGTTTAAACGATAGTCCACCGATTTTACTATCCAGAACTAGAGACCTCGTGGATCAATGGTCAAGGCATTCAAACTATGATAATGGTTTTGGATTGAAAAGAACACAAATGAAAACATAAAAACTAGAATCGATACTGACCTTGATCCAAATTATAAATTCCATTATGATCCATTTTCAGTCTCTTCTCTGGCGAGTCCTTGGGCACTTCGGCAGATTTACCTTCCCTTTTCAGCTTTCCCAGGCCAGAGTCAAGCTGGCTCTCGCATAGGGCCATCTTCTATTAAAACTAGATAACTGAAATAAATTACTGATCCTTTAGAATTGAAACAGCTAAACATAAATGCTAAATATATGAAATGCTTTGAAATCACATTTTTTGAACTAGCTGTGCGTTCCATCTGTCAGTGGTCAGTCACCATAATCAAATAGCTTCCATCCTTAAGGCATGATAAGAAGAATGTCTTCTCTATTTTCTTTATTACACACGTTGGCGCATTTTCGTGTCAGGAAACTTTTGTGTAGTAAGCTCCTGATAAGTGTTGAGAAATTCACCGATAAGAAATTTTTATATGAGGTGACCTAAGGAAATTGCATCTCCTGGTTTACATATAGGGGCGAAAATACAACTATTTACTAGACGTTAACTGTAAAACTATGTTTCGTAAATTCTTCTTCTTTGTCTCCACCTTATCCCACTAGGTGGGGTCGGCACAGTGAATATTTCTATTCCATTCTCTTCTATCAGCCGTCATCTCAACACTCACTCCTCTCTCTTTCTACTGGTGGTAGGACCTCTTGCCAGTCCGCACGGTTAGATACACAACCCTGCCTATTTCTGCCTTGAAGCAGTAGTGCGTTTCAGTTTGAAGGGTGGGGCAGCTGTTGTAACTATACTTGAGACCTTAGATTTTATATCTAAAGGTGAGTGGCGCATTTACGTTGTAGATGTCTGTGAGCTCCAGTAACCACTTAACACCAGGTGGGCTGTGAGCTCGTCCACTCATCTAAGCAATAAAAGCAAAACTCGTCATTCATGCATATTAATGGTATATAATTTAATAAGGTACCTATAGGTATTGGTATCTTTACATTCAACAACCTAAAGATATTCATCTAATAATGTTTGTTATGTCATAATATTATGTAGAGTAGGTTAGTGCATTGATGAGGTAAAAAACGATTGAGAGCCACTGGCCATGATAGATAAGCAAACAGTTGAAGGCATGTATAAGTATTATGATGTCTGTTACATTATTCACATACTGGCAAAAGTTACCAATATTTTTCTATTCATTGAGTATAACATTTTATTACAAGAGCAACTACTAAAATGACACATTCTGGTTACATAGTATTTATTGGTGAATCTTGGGTGTATTGAACATCTTTCTGTCTCTTTTCTTTTTCAAAATTCAGAGTAAGGGCATTCAACTTATGAGCTATCTAGCTTAAAAAATTATTGTCAAGATTCAACTTTGGTTAGTTAATAAAAGTCATTAGTTCAGAGTACTTGTTTTTGCAATAATAATAAAAATTGCTCGCTTAACAAATTTCCATACTTGGCCTGAGGAATATTTTAAGAAAGCGCCATCTATTCATATGTGTTTGAACTGCTTGACATTCTATGGTACAACAACAGTGAGTATTGAATAAACAGGTTGAAAACAAGAATATAAACAACCTGTTTCAAAACAGAATTCTTCATCAATTTTGTCTACTTAATTTTAGAATATCAGATATATATATAAATCAGTATTTATGGTAGAGCATGTTATCGATCTACAGAGATAAGGATCACTGTCCTGTGTATTTCTGAGGCACAAGTCATATGGTACGGGTCGACAACTGGCATTACCATGTTCAAGACTGAGAAGTTAAGTCTCAAGGTGGCAAGCGAGGTTTCAGTAGGCATTTAGAATCTTAGTGCTTCAAACATTTGTATGTGTTTTGTATTAGTGACCACTCTTAGAATTGTATAGTAATGAACAGATTAAAACAATAACCAAAATTTTTCTTGCAAATACAAAACCCTTAAAAACTGATTAATGCATTTACATACTACTTTGTTTTATCATTGGTTTGTCCAAATTATGCATAACTGTTATATGAGTTAGGTTATTTTGGTGGTTAAAAAGAATGTTAACTTTCTCTCCAGGGCTGATAATTTTAATTTTTAAAACATTATTATAAATTTCTGTTATGCTTTTCTTTTCCAACAAACATGTAACATAATGTTGATAAAATTGTTGAATGTGATAATTATTAAAACGGTTAATGATTTTTAAGGATTTAGATTTTCCTTTTTCATGTAATTTACCTACAAAATAACCATGGTACTTTTAAAATTGGGTATTTAAATCGCATAGGTGTTTGTACATTATGTTTTCTCTATTCCTAGTCTAGAAATATATTCAGTCATGAATCTTTATTCCCATTTTCATCACTCAACAAGTATGTACCTACTTCTTTGAAATCTGTTTTCAATAATTCTAAAAAGTGCATGGTATTTTAGTTAAGTTTTCAAATTTGGAACTTCAAAAATTCCACAAAAAAGTATTTAATAATGTTGACCTCATTTCTTCGAAACATAAACGTTTCACACAAGGTCATAAACAAACATGACGAATAATGATCTTGTTTGAAAATACCATAAAATTCAATCGTTTGCTCTTATCTTCTCAACAAGTACTTACAATAATATGTATAAAGTACACAGCATACTTACACTTATAAAATTAACATTATATATTTTTGAATCATTAAATTTAACTAGAAACACTTGTAAACTTAACACGAAACTGTTGTTTGCATGAAATTAAAAAAAAATCTTTGTCTCTAAATTTCGAATATTGTGTTCCAAAAAAAAACACTTACTTAGAACAACTAAAACCCTGAACGCAAGGAGGCGAAATGTAAAAGGCATCAAACAACATAGAAAAAGCTTTTGCAATCCGTTTCACATACACGCACTACATTCTAGTGTATTAAAACTGAATTTTAAACTATTTTGAAAAGTTTTAGACGTCGTAACGTGACGATATAAACAAAAACCAACGAACAGATTTAATAACAAGTGCGACGTCCATTTGCAAGAACGATGCGTGATTACTGCCTACGAAAAGTGCGAAAAAGACAAAAATATTTTATTGTCTGGCAGCACTGAGAGGTACACGACCGAATAACGATGCCTCCGAACTTTGATGGTTGACGGTCCGATATGGAGCAGTGGATCTACATATTATCTATTATTTTTCACATATTATATAATATATAATTCTACATATTATTTTATTTTTACTGTTTTAACTCTATATTTAAGCATCCAACAATATGCTATACTATATAGCTTATATATGCATATACTATGACAGGCCCGATTTATCCTTATTTTATCATTGTTGCATGACTTCGCTTTAAATAATTTAAGTGTCTATGCTGGACGTCTAAGTGCTCGTAGGTAGGTACTCGAAGTCTACGGTGAGTCGAGACTCAAGAGTGAGTTTCAACATCAGAGCCGTGAGTAGTACAGAGCGGCCACCGTAGATTAAACACTTGATATTCGGCTGCCACGCCCGAAGTTTCTAACCCAGATGAGCTGTAGTTGGCTTTTGGGGAGGAAAGAGACAAAAAAGGGGCGTGAATTAATTAATTAATCAATTCGTTTTGTTTTCCTTGTTTAGTATGATTTTTTTCTATTTCTTCGATTCTATGAAATTCATCATTTCAATTTGAAATGATATCATAGTGATTAATATAAATGAAGTAGATTTTCCTTACAAATTTAATATTTTTTTCATTTGATTATCTAAACTCTCATATTTAAATACAACAAGTGGATTAATTGTTTTATTACAGTTAGATTAAAAAATAAAATTTATTTAGTAAAAACAATATTTCTTTCTATAAAGATGTTCGAGTAGGTATTTCGGAACAACAAAATCAAATTGACAACTGCATGACAGTCCTCATAGGACGATTAAAGGAGGCAGGATTCTAATGAAAAAAAAAAGAAAACCCAAAAGGCATTATCAAAATAACGTATAACCATCAAAATAAGACCACCTTATGATTTTGTACGAATTTATTATCATTTAAATAAATGAGTATCGATTTTACTCAAATCGAATTCTTTTGTTCGATAGCAACATTATTTGGGTGTGAGTTGCTCACTCAGCGTTGAAGATAGTTATAGGTAGGTCGCGGGCGGTCGAGTCGAGTTGGCATATTTGCCGTTTCAATGTTTGAGTTGATAAAGTATCAAGACGCAGGTTGTTATCGGGCGAGGCAGACCGTCGGTTCACCTTGCATCGACAAAGCCGCGCGTATTCATTTGACACTCTGACGTGTATTTATTGTGTCCTCACACAATTATGGGAGTATTTTGTGGTATTACTATAAACTAGTTTTTCGATTAATAACACATTTAGCCGCATTCTTTATTCTCGTATGTAATACAGAGTAAATTGTTAGTAGAATTTAATTTATGAAATCAATTAATCATCAGTTTTGTTTTAATTTAAAATCATGTTCATTTTGAATTATTGATAGTCTAAATACTACTAGCGTTTTTTTTCCGTGGCAAATAAGCATTGATCTCACATAGCATTACATCGACTGGGATGTCGGTAGATTTATAATAAGTAAGATCCTTTCATAAATAAGTGTAATTTAAACAAAAAATTCTATAAACAAAAATTCAATTGAATACGGTCAATTTCCATTATAACTACCATTATTATCCGAAATTAGAAAATAAAATTTCAAGCGTAAAAATAAAAGTAATACCTATGTATAGTTTAAAAAAAAAACGTCTTTTTTTATTGCTTAGATGGATGGACGAGCTCACAGCCTACCCGGTGTTAAGTGGTTAGTGGAGCCTTAACAATTCGAATTGAAATTAACATTTCATTTTAATTTTCTTCTTAACATTTTGATACCGGTCAGGATGGTGAAGCAGATATAAATTTATAAATTTACTGTCCGTCGCGGATGTCTACATATTTTCAAGTTAATCGGACGTATTAAAGTCTATGAAGATGATGTTCAAAGTTTTGTTTATTGCATACAAATAAATTATATAAAACAATCAAACTAGTAAATGCGTGTTAAAAATTAGGAGTCCCGGAGCGTTCGTCCCATTGTGAAGTCCCACAATTTTCTTCGTTTGTTTTATGGTGCTGTAATGCGTTCCGTATTGAAATGATTACAACTTTAAACATAACTTCAAAGGCAAAAAAGTATAGCCGTTGGTACCAACTAAATTACGGGGCAGATTTAAAAAAAAAACCTTGAAATTCATGATTCGGCGGTCGCCAAGGTTATCAAGTAATCGATTTAATATTAAAAACGTATTTAACCTCTTAAACAATAAAGGATTCACGTTTTCAAAGTTAATTACGTTAAGGTAACAAAAATCTTAATTATGACATACAAGATTGACATTTTATGACGCCATTATTACTAATGAGGTTTCATACTTCAGTGTACTAATGGCACAGGGAATAATCGACGGTTGTCAGTATGACTTTAAACTGAAATAATATTGACCTTCTTTGTATCTTTAACTGATTTTTAGATAGCTCGCTGACTGGGCTCAAGGTTTATTAGTTCGTTCATCGCCAATTTCATCATTGTATTTATTTTGAATGTGTTATAGGAATTAGTCTGGTAGTGGCATTTGTGACAGAGAAGTTGAGAAGTGCACGTTTTAGATGGTATGGACATGTGATGAGACAAAATGACAATGAGGCTGTTGATAATATTTTTTTTATTAGATGCGTGGACGAGCTCACAGCCCACCTGGTGTTAAGTGGTTACTGGAGCCCATGGACATCTACAACGTAAATGCGCCACCCACCTTGAGATATAAGTTCTAAGATCTCAGTATAGTTACAACGGCTGCCCCACCCTTCAAACCGAACCGCATTACTGCGTCACGGCAGAAATAGGCAGGGCGGTGGTACCTACCCGCGCGGACTCACAAGCGGTCCTACCGCCAGTAAATACCACCAGTTTTAACTATGACTGTGAAAGGCCCTAGAGGAAGAGGTAGACCTAAGAAAAAAATAATGGATTGCGTGAAAGACGATATGTGTAAGAGGGGAGTGAGTGAAGAAACGGTACCTATATGATAGAGGAGTATGGAAGGAGAAAACATGTTTCGCCGACCCCAGGTGACTGGGGGAAGGGCAGGAGCATGATTATTTATTTTAATTACTGACTAGTAATTTAGGTACTACCTGACCTTGATTTGAGTTACTGCCTATTTCTGCAGTGAAGCAGTAACGCGTTTCGGTTCGAAGGGTGGGGCATTTCCGTTGTTAATTTTTATGGGCTCCGCTGACCACTTAACACCAGATGGGCCGTGAGATTCGTCTCCCAATTTAAGCAATAAAAAATACAAATTGGTTAGTTTAATAAGTAGTTTAATAAACATTAATTTCTTTAGTTCTCTGTCTGTTCTATTTGCCTTTTTTATCACGCACCATCCGGCTCTGGAATGGGAACCATTAGTACTGCGTTATATTCAATAGAGGCTTGAATCACGTCCTTACCGATCCATCAGATCCAATAACCGTTGCATTAGTGCCTGCAGGTCTAACACTAGGAGCAGGCTTAGGGACCCCGGTTACCGTACCGACAAAGAGTTCGACATGCAACCTAACCCATGCATCAGCCCGCTGAGTTTCTCGCCGGATCTTCTCAGCGGGTCGAGTAGATTCATTCGCGAAGCAGCTGCTCTTGAGTTGTTAGGTCAAATCCCATCCCTCCTGGCTGAGCCTTTGCTCGCCCACCTGTCGTCGTGAAATTAGAAAGGCCTTCGGGCCACCAGTAAACCTTCAATACTAAAAAAAAAGACGCCTGCCAGATGTTTGGATACGTAAAACATAATTTGATTTGTATCGCAGGTCCACCATCTCTGTTAGTGTAAACAGAGATGTGCTGTGTGACACAAAGCATAACTAGAGCAGGGAAATCGATAGTATTTTGACCTAGACTCGACGGATCAATATAACCACCTCCCCCCCCCCCCCTCCCTATTACCGACAGAGCGCATTCTGAGCCAACACCGCTAATGCCACTACCACAGATAGCGACCGTAAAAAAATAGAGATTAAATCGTCATAGTGATTTTAATTAGAACTATGATTTCTCGTGATCAGAGAGGGAGAGAGAGAATACACTTTATTGTACACCAAAACACAATTTACATTAAAAAACAGTCAAGAAGCGGTTGCAGTGCAGTTGATACATTTGTACAATAGGCGGTCTTATCGCTAAAAGCGATCTCTTCCAGACAACCGTTTAATTTACAGAAATTCTGGAAAAGACAAAGACAGCAGCTATGTTGCAGTCTACTATTTTTTTTTTTTTATTGCTTAGATGGGTGGACGAGCTCACAGCCCACCTGGTGTTAAGTGGTAACTGGAGCCCATAGACATCTACAACGTAAATGCGCCACCCATCTTGAGATATAAGTTCTAAGGTCTCAGTATAGTTACAGCGGCTACCCCACCCTTCAAACCGAAACGCATTAACTGCTTCACGGCAGAAATAGGCATGGCGGTGGTACCTACCCGTGCGGACTCGCAAGAGGTCCTACCACCAGTGATTACGCAAATTATAATTTTGCGGGTTTTTGACTTTTATTACACGATGTTATTCCTTCACCGTGGAAGTCAATCGTGAACATTTGTTAAGTACGTATTTCATTAGAAAAATTGGTACCCGCCTGCGGGATTCGAACACCGGTGCATCGCAACAACGAATGCACCGGACGTCTTATCCTTTAGGCCACGACGACTTCAAACTATTAATAATACATTATTAAAGAAAATACATACATACAATAAATGAAAATACATACATACAATAAATAGATATATATCTATTTATGAGAATTCAAAATCTAGAGAATGGTTGTCCAGACAAAGGTTTATTTTATGCAGCCCGCCAAAATAGTTATGATATAAATATAAATAGTTTGGATTTAGAATTCTTTGTCAAAACATATAATCAAAATTTGGTATAATTTATCTTTATTCTTGTAACATTCCATTCCCATGACATCGTTTAAAAGTGAAGCTATCTTTTAC